ATATATATATATATATATATATTTATATATATATATATATATATATATATATATATATATATATATATATATATATATATATATATATATATATATATATATATATATATATATATATATATATATATATATATATATATATATATATATATATATATATATATATATATATATATATATATATATATATATATATATATATATATATATATATATATATATATATATATATATATATATATATATATATATATATATATATATATATATATATTCTGTACTAAAATATCAAAAAGTCACTTTGTTTAACTGCAGAATTCAATTTTCAATTCAGCGCAGAGATCAAGGTCCCACAATGCAATTCATATCTACAATTCAAAAAACTTTAGACATAAATAATATAATTTATATGTATTGTTTTATTGTTTTCATTGAGTTAAATGAACTCAATGGCTGTCATAGCATGTATTTGCTTTAGAAACATGTAAATTGTTTGTTCGTAAAATCAGATGGCAGATGAGATTTTTTTTTTTTTGCGTTCTTATGTAATGACAGTGTGACATCCTAATTCCAACAGAGAAATGACATAGAATATGACGCATGAAGGGCACCAACCCACCGTCTTTTATAAATGTAATTCATTCATTCATTTATTGTTTTTTCGGCTTCCTTTATTAATCAGGAGTCACCACAGCAGAATGAACCGCCAACCTATCTACCATATGTTTTATGCAGCGGATGCCCTCCAGCTGCAACCCATCACTGGGAAACATCCATACACACTCATACACACATGCACTACGGACAATTTAGCCCAATTCACCTATAGCACATGTATTTGAACTTCCAGGAGAAACCAGAGCACACGGAGGAAACCCACGCAAACATAGGGAGATTGTAGGGGGGGTTGGGGTTGGAGCGGGGGCACTTCAGTTCAGATCATTTTGGAAGGGCTCTTTCTATCCAAGACTAAAAAGGGCACAGGTTGAGCCCTATGTATGCACGTGCCTGTGTGTGTGTGTGTGTGTGTGTGTGTTTATTTTTGTGTTGTAAGAGAAGGAGATTTGTTAAATGTTTTCTTAGATTATTACACTTATAAAAGACAGTGGGTTGGTGCCCTTCATGCGTCATATTCTACGTCATATCTTTGTTGAAAAATTAAGACATCACACTGTCATTACATGAGAAGGCAAAAGAAAAATGTCATCACA